AGCATTATGTCTCTACTTGTCAGTTAAACATGCCCTCTCTTGTTCCATTAATCCTCAAGGGTGTCCCAAACATTTACTTTTCGTCCCAGTCTCTGAACGTTGTGCGGTTCTTCAGTGGGGCCACTCGTCTAAGTTGGCAGGCCATCCTGGCGTCCTGGCAAGGGAACCCTTGCCTCCGTTCGCCAGCGTTTCTGGTGGCCTTCCTGTGAAAGAGACATTCGTCGTTTCATTGCAGCCTGCACCATTTGTGCACAGTCATTCACCTCTGTCTGGTCTCTTGAAGACCTTTACTCGTCCCGTCGTGTACATGGTCGCACATTGCACTGGTCTTCCTTCGTCAGCAGGACATACCATTATCCTTACGGTCGTCGATCGTTTTTTTAAGGCTGCACATTTCATTCCCCTCACGAAACTCCCCTCCGCCAAAGAGACGGCCCAGATAATGGTTGATCATGTTTTCAAACTCCACGGGCTTCCTTCCGATATAGTTTCTGACAGGGGTCCCCAATTTTGGAAGGAGTTTTGCCACCTGATTGGAGTCTCTGCCAGTCTCTCGTCCTGGTTTCACCCCCACACCAATGATCAGGCCGAACGCACCAATCAAATTGTCGGCCGCAGTCTCGCCTTGGCCGAGTATGCCCGCAATTCTCTCCCATCTTCCGCTACCGGTCTCTCTCCCTTTCAATGCTGCCTTGGGTACCAACCTCCGCTGTTCTCTAAACAAGAATCTGTCTCTCGCGTCCCATCTGTTCAAGCCTTTATTAATAGCTGCAAACGAATTTGGAGTAGGGTGAGATCAGCTCTCTGTCGTTCTAGGACTATTATGTGCATCATCGCCAACAGCCCCTGTTATCATTGTGGCCAAAGGGTGTGGTTATCCACTCTTAATCTACCACTTTAGTCCATTTCTCGAAAATTAGCTCCCCGTTTCATCAGTCCGTTCTGGATCTCCAAGGTCGTTAGCCCTATTTCGGTCAAGTTAAAACTACCTGTCAACCTTCGTCGTGTCCACCCTGTATTCCATGTCTCCTCTATCAAGCCTGTTATTCGTGCCCCTCTGCGTCTGTCCCATTTTAGTCGAGGGGGCACTGGTTTATAAGGCTCGGGACATCCTGGACCGTTCGCTTATGGCTCGTTTCCACTGAGGGGTACGGTACAGTACAGTACGGGTCGGGTACACCATGACCAGGCTTGCGTTTCCACCGCCAACAGTACCCTTACTTGATAGGCGTGTTATGCTGGAAAGAAGCGATCAACGTCATTTTCGCGCGAAGAAAGCAACATAGTAAACAATAATGGATGACAGACAGCAGATCTTGTTCTTGCTTCAGATCTTGTTCTTGCTACCGTACCGTACCACTCAGTGGAAACGAGCCATTATTGATGAATTCCTCTGATCTCGACAGTCCTCTACTCTCGTCGAGGGAGAGGTATTTTTTATGATCCAGTCTCTTTTCCTCTCCTTTAGCTCCCTCTCTCTCTCTCCCAGCTGTTCCCTATATCCTTCTGCTGTGCACTTGTTTCCCCGCACCTGTTCTCCCTTGATTACGTTTGCTACTTCTCTCTCTCCCTTTGTCTTTTTGTCAGATTGTTCATTTCCTCTTATGAAAGAAGCTACATAGTTTTTTCCCATCGATGAACCTTGTCCTGCCCTGTCCGAACTCGCTCTGTTCAGCTGGGAGATCTCAGTTCCAAGTATCAAGTCACCTGTGCTTAATGTGCTCTCTACCCATTCAGTATCTGAACTGCCTGAACCGCCACTGCTTCCCGTTGACCAATCTATGGGTGTTTCTTGAGTGACCAGAGGCTAGCCGCTGTCCGCATTCCTGTGTCTTGCTGTCAGCCGCCCACACTCCACCTGAAAGGATTTTTTTCTGATTATTGTCTGGGCCTTATTCTGTCTGTTTCTGTTGAGCTATTTACGATTGAAGATTTCTGTTTCTGGTGGGTTCCTCAGTTAATATAATTAAAGACTCATTGACTGTGACTCACTTTTGGGTTTTCTTTCACCTCATAACAAAGTTATTGCATATGTTACGTTCGTAGATATTCTGTGGGCGTCTGTGTTTGTTTTCTGCTTGCGCTCTCTCTCTCTCTCTCTCTCTCTATCAATTTCTTAGGTCAGCCTTCACCGCTTGCTGATTGGCCCAGGAAACTGTCAATCATCATCAAGGGATGTGATGTGGACCTATCCGCTGTCTGAGACGTCCTCACTACCAGTTTAAAGGACGCTGGAAATAGACTGGAAATGAGTCCCGTTTTGATTTCCGTTCCCTTTTGCTGCCATTGTGTGTCAACACAAATCAACACTCGTTTGATTTGTTAATTTGCTTATGCTAATTGTGTTTCTTCAGTTTGTTTTTGTTACTTTGTTTGATTACTTTGGATGACGTTTGTTTCGACTTGTATAGAGCTTGTGCTCTTTTTGTTACGCTTTGCTCCAAGGAATGGGGGATAGGGAAGATGTCGTACGACTTCCATTGTGCAAACATCTAGAATAACCTTTGTATAGAAACACCAGGTAAGAGGTGAACGCCACCCTTGTATGTTTTTGTTTTGTGAGCTAGAGTAGGGAAGAACACAGCGCTCGGTGTTGAAGAAACAATTCTTTTTCTTTCCTTCTCTTTAGCTAGGTAAGAGGGTTGTTGTTTTCTTTTGTTTCTTTCTTTATTTTGGTGTCACTTTAGTCCCTTTTTCCTTAAGGGTAAATTGTTGCTTACTTTTTTTTAATTTTATTTATGACTTATATTTGTTTTCTCTTTATATAATTTATTTAATGTTTATTTTTTTTTTTTTTGGAGGCTGTTAGCTTCCTTACTGTTCCTAATTTACTTTATCATTCATTTGGTATTCCTTATCTTTTGAATAATAAATATCATTATTTTCATTGGCAGTTTGGTTTCGCTTATTGTTTCTTGACACACACTACCATTTCCACAGTTTTACAAGGTTTTCTTTAATGTTACTCCTCTAGCCCCTAGATTAGTTTGCAGGGGTCGTAACACATAGGTTACATATAATGCCAGTTATAATGATTCAAATTTATCATACTATATCTGCCCTGTGTGTTTAGTGCCACACAGAGTTGAGGACATGCTTTCACCCTTTTTTTGGAGCTGCAAGTATATCTCTAGATTTTGTATGGTTATGGTCGGGTTAAGGTCACTATTCGGGTTTCTGAAACATTAGGAATAACCCGTTTACATGCGTGAGCAGAGAGTGTTTCTCCTGTATACATGGAATTGCAATATCCCGATGTAAACAGCGATGCGCGGTTAGCGTCTGGACGTACAAACAACCTTAAGTTGTGTCATTTCCGATTCTTCTTCCTGTATCCAAAGACAACAACAGCAGCAAACGGATAATGAATAGTTCGCGGCAGATAGCGATCGCCTTTGTTTGTGCTTTGATGCTGGTAACGTTACTGAGCTCGCTCCAAAAGTATGCTGTGCTGCGTCTCGCCATGTTTACTTCCGGTATACTGCACGCTCATTTTTGTATGCGCCGAGAAGTTTCTCTACTCAAAAGACCAAGATTCCTTGTGAATAGAACATGCGCAAAACACAAATCACTATGGAGATATGCCGATACGCGTTTACATGACCAAAAATTCAGGTTAGAAAAGGGGTACCCCAGGTATAATATCCCGTTTTTAAAAATCCGGGATATGAGCATATTCGGGTTTTTGCCGGTGTTCACATGGCGGTTTGCGACTGGGTTATTGCTAACGGGTTATTGGCTGCATGTAAACGTAGTCAATGATACTTCCCCCTCTGTGACTCAGTGGTATAGAGAGATCTTTGCAGTTTTGCCCCATGAGAGACTGGCTGTGGTAGTTATGGGTAATGCACAGAACTTTCATAACCTATGGTCTCCGTTTATAGATCACCTGCCTTTGGATGTGAGAAAAATAGTCATGTGTACCAATTACGGCTCTCTGGGGTGTGGGGTCCCTCCTTCTGGAGATAAGTATTGCAACTTTGCAACTTACAAAGAATGGTCTGGGTTCTTTTGTGTTCTGAAAAAAAAAAATTAAGTTGGCTCAATAAAACATTACTTGTTGAAATTAATTAATTCTTATTGCATTCACCTAAAAGAAATACGTGGGTAAGTTTCCCTTAATTTAATAAAGTTAGTTAATTACTTTTTTAAGTGCAGTTGTGTCTGCTACTGACATTAGTATCATTATTACTCACTGAGCAACTAAACTCACACCACAACTTTCATGCTTCCCACAGCCTATGCACAAGACCTACTCTTTAGAACAGTAAGTAGAAAAAAATAAATAAATAATAATAAAAACATTACAGAAACTCTTCTAAATGCCTAACATAATGGAACATTAAATAGTAAACTTGTATTTCCCTTTACTGAAAAACATAAAATATCACTCTAAGTCTAACTGTTTAAATGTCAAACTATAGTTATTGTGTGTGTGTGCGTGCAACCTACATCGAGTTGACCAAATGTAACCACAAACATAGTAAAATGCAAAATGTTGACATTCTGGGGCCATTTGGTCCAGCCTAATGAGGACAACTGCTTAAAAATCATACCAAGTGATTTTTTTTTTTTTTTTTTTTAAATGTAAATATGCATAATGTTTTCCATGATGAGTAGGTTTAGGGGTAGGGGTAGTGTAAGGGTATATAATATACAGTTTGTACAGTATAAAAATCATTACATCTAAGGAAAGATATAAAACAAGTTTTTTTATGTAAAAATGCAGAAAGTTTTGTGATGGGTAGGGTTATGAGATGGAATATACTGTTTGTACAAAATAAAAAAATCATAACCTCTATTTTAATTTCAAAGTTAATTATTCCACTATTCTACTCATAGTTAGTAGAATGTCTAAAGTTGACTAACAAAATAATGTATAAACCTTGAAGGAAGGGCATCAACCTAATCCTATAGTATAAGTTATACACCAAACTCATTTAAAGCAAGCTCCTCCTCAGCGGTTCTTCACAGTCCACAAACACAACGGTACACTATTACAGCGATCAGACATTTAGATCAACCTCTCACTTCATTTCAGGTAAAATATTTTATGCTTAAGTTAATGTCTATACTTATTTGTTACTGATATCAATTATAAAAAAAATATAATCTTTTGACTCTTATGATTTTTCACACCAGTGATTCCATTTTTCAATTTCTTCAAGTTTTGTTATTTGTTTGGATATTTGGCAAAATATTTGAGAAGAATGTAGATTATATCATCTGATTTTTCAGAAGAGAGGAGAAACTCCAAAGGCATCTCTATACGTATATCTTAACTGTTTATCTCAGAAAATCAAATGATTGTGATACGTGTATATATTATACTGACAACATTTTTAACTGTGCAATCCTTTTTTTTATAACAATGTATAAAACCCTGACAGTCTCACAGTTTTATAACTCACTCTGGCCAAATACATTATTATCTAATGCTTTACATATAAATATTGTACAGAACATCAAACACACACCAAAAAACCTTAAGTGAGTTGTGAACTGCAGAATTTGAATGCTTAATTACAGGTGAAAACTAATAATGGAAACCAGCAAGGTCATCTCAACTGACAAAGCTACAGTTGTCATCCAAGTAAATCCACAGGTGGCACAAAATGCTGTTATTTGTGATGATGGACAGCAGACCAGAGTATATCCCAATACGGCCCTCACTGGATTTTCCAAAGCACAACCAAAGGCTTTGGGGGTAATGCATTTAATGATGAATTATAATTATGATTTGTTGAATATTTTTAGTGTCTAATTTCCATTTGTGATAATATGAACAGAAAGTTAAAAGTTGTCATGTGTTCTCAAGTTAATACAGTATGTTTGTGTTGGTCTGATTGCATTTAGACTGTAGAGTGCATAGAACATTAATATTATTTATTAATTATAAATAATATTATATTATAATTATTATTCTTTGAGCATGCGCGCATGGATGTGTGTGTGTATCCAAATATGAATGATTTGCCATCATGCAAAAATATAAACACTTGACCCATTTCTCCCCTCTCTAGACTGTCCAAATAGTAATTGGAGTGGTGAATTTCATGTTTGGTATCGTACGCACCACCTTTCTCAGCAAAGATCACCCAGTTATTATTGTCAAGAGTGGCATAACCTACTGGGGATCCCTTTTTGTAAGTTTCATTGAATTATTTTGCTTTATAAACTCTAATTTTTAAATTACAAGAAAAGAACTTAAAAATGTCCTTTTTCTCTCAGTACGTAAGTGGTGGATCTTTGTCGGTTGCAGCGCAGAATAAACTTCACCCATGTGTCGTACGTACATTTTTTTATATATATTGTTTTTTTTTGACACCATCAAATAAATTAAACTATTAAAAAATGTATCTACAATTCTTTCACAACCATAATACTTTCATGGTAAGTTCTCTCCAGACCACATGGTCTGAAACTTGAAAGATCAAGACATCTGATTTATCAATTTACATAGTTAAAAACAGAGTTCTGGGTGTTTTATAAGTAGTATAAATGTCACTTTTTCACTTTTTTTTTTCTGTAGGTGAAAGCCTCTCTTGGAATGAATGTGATCAATGCCATAACTGCAGGGATTTCCATTGTTCTGATGTCCATAGAGATAGTTTTCAGCTCATTGTTCTATGAAAACTGCTACTACAATGGCTACAATCATGGCTATGGTCGTAACGATGGTTCTAATTATTTTGGAAAATATAATTTCAAGGAAATCTGTTTGAATTTACAGGTATTAAATGTGCAATGTTCACTACAAAAAAATAATGTAGTCTGTTTTTTTGTTTGTTTTTTAGTAACTTTGTTCACCCCAAAATTGCAATTATGTCATACTCATAATTTAAAGTTATTTTTTTACAAAGACTGATGGTCTTTCAAAAAATTACAAAGTAGTCCATGCATTCAAAAGCCATATGATGCCTCAGTATAATGCAATATAATATTTAGAAACTCACTCATAATAATTGGTGGAATATTATATGTGATACTGCTATCATATGATCATCTTGAATATTTTTTAGAAATATGATCTGGGGATCAGTGGAATATTGCTGGTGTTCTCCATCCTTCAGTTCATCATCTCCATCTGTATCTCAGGATTCGCCTGCAAAGCCACCTGCAAAAAAGACTCACAGACTACAGTGGTCAATGTGGCACTGAACCAGGTAAATGATTTGATCATTGTACACTACATCCTTTTTTCTACTGCTCAATTATTTAATTGTGTGACAGTGGGCTTTTTACTTAATAATTCATCAAAATATATCCAATAAAACAGTCTTTATTGGTGTGTGGATCTTGTTAAGTCTCTTGTGTACTAACATGTCTTGTCTTACTTCCCAGGGATACTGAGTCACAGTGAGGGGATCTAAACATTGCAAGAAATTTATATATTTTATATTTGGTTCTAAGCAATATTTAGGGCCCAAGCCCTGAAAGGGCGAAGGCCCTATTGTTTTCCTTAGGATTATTAGGGCCCAAGCCCTGAAAGGGCGAAGGCCCTATTGTTTTCCTTGGGATTATTAGGGCCCAAGCCCTGAAAGGGCGAAGGCCCTATTGTTTTCCTAACGATTATTAGGGCCCAAGCCCTGAAAGGGCGAAGGCCCTATTGTTTTCCTAAGGATTATTTATTATTAGGGCCCAAGCCCTGAAAGGGCGAAGGCCCTATTGTTTTCCTTGCGATTATTTTTCTTCTCTATTATTATTATAATAATTATTATTTTACTACCTTTTGGGCACTTTTGGGGCCCTTAACGTGCTCGAAAACTCTTGAAACTTTGCACACGGGTCAGAACCCGCGGCCATCAGAGCCGGGCTGAAGCTGGTACCTGGGCGTGGCAGGGGGGCTCGTCAGCGCCCCCTGGAACGGGGTCCGAACACTCGGTCCATAACTCAAACACGCTTGCATGTAATAATATGAAACTCGGTACACATGTTGATCTCATCGTTTCATCTATACCTCGCGCTCTTACTTTTTACCCCAGCCCAACAGGAAGTCGGCTATTGAGGTTTGTTTGTAAAACGCTCGCAATGGTATTTGAAATACTCCTCCTAGAGCTTTGATCCACATTCGACGAAACTCGGTCAGCGTGAAGTCAAGACATTGAGGATGAAAGTTTGCGAGGGGATTTTTGATATCTCGAACGGTTTGTCCGTGGCGAGGAAACGAAATCATGGCGAGAAACGTGAAACAGGAAGTGTGTTATAACTTCAGCATACATTAACTGATCTTGATGAAACTTCAGCAGTGTGTTCGCTGTAAGAGGACGATCACATGGATGTGACTATTGTGAGTAAAAGTTATAGCGCCACCAACTGGCAGCAGGAAGTGTGTCACTTTCAAAATGCTTTGAAATCACCCTTTTATTTTTACCCGATTTGCTTCAAACTTCATCTGTATAATGTAAACATACGGCAGATGTAGACCTGTGAATGGATTCTTGATATCTTTGAAACTGTTGCCGTGGCGACGCATCAAACTTTACCCTTCTTTTAGGATGCTTTTAGGATGCTTTTGAGTACCTTAGCATGCTTCAAATTGCATGAAACTCGACAGACACATCACATTTATTAGCCAGTAGACATGTGCAAAGTTGCAGAAACGGGCGTGGTGAGGGCTCAGTAGCGCCACCTTTTGACAAAAGTGGGGTGGTTAGTTTTAACTAGAGTTACAAAAATTGGTATGTATATTGTACTCCTCGAGCCGGACAACTTTCTAATTGACACTTATTAGCTAGGACCCACAGAAACTCAGATATTTTTGTTTGAATATGGCCACTCTGAGCTTTGGCTGGCTGGCTGGCTGTCTGTGTGTGTGTGTGTGTGTGTGCAGGGGGAGGGGGCTTAACCATTTCACTGCTGTGTGTATGACCTGCATAAAGAAAATACATTTCTCAAGCCTGGTATTTTTTAATAAGTTTTTATTTTTATTTTTTATAAGTAAAGGCATATAACTAGTTTAATTGTAGTGAATTGACAATAGTTTTATATAATTAGTTTATTAATCAGATTAACTTGGTCAATAAACTTGGTCTGAAAATTTGGTCCATAAATCAAACACACTTGCATGTAATAATATGAAACTTGGTACACATATAGATCTCATCGTTTCATATATACTTCACACTCTTACTTTTTACCCCAGCCCAACAGGAAGTTGGCTATTTAGGGTTGTGTTTAAAACACATGCAATGTAATTTAAATTATTGCTCCTAGAGCACTGAACCAAATTCGACGAAACTCGATCAGCGTGAAGTCAAGACATTAAGGATGAAAAGTGCCACGGGATTTTTGATATCTCGAACGGTTTGGCCGTGGCGAGGAAACGAAATTATGGCGAGAAACATGGAACAGGATGTGTGTTATAACTTCAGCATACATTAACTGATCTTGATGAAACTTCAGCAGTGTTTTCGCTGTAAGAGACCGATCACATGGATGTGACTATTGTGAGTCAAAGTTATAGCGCCACCAACTGGCAGCAGGAAGTGTGTCACTTTCAAAATGCGTGGCAACGAAAAACTTTAAACATTATTTTTTGATGCTTTTGGGACTCTTAGCTTGCTTGAAATTGCTTGAAACTCAACAGATACATCACATTTATTAGCCAATAGACATGTGCAACTATGGCAAAAGATTAAAGTAATGTCAAAAAAGTAACACTAAAAGCCTCATATCTTCTAAAAATGTAATTATACATCATTTGTTTCTAAATTAAATTATACAAATATTATAACTTCCCCAATTTTTCCTTTTTTTTCATTTAAGAATTGTGTTTACGTTCAAAAACAGCCAGAATTGTTGTAAAATTCATAAAAAAATAATAATCTGAGTCATACGTAGTGCTATACTGCCCTCTTGTGTTCAATATCAGGTAGGCCTATTGTGTATATTCCCACCGGTTAATCAACGTGTGACTCCGCTGGGACTTGGGAGCTTTTAAATCGCTTACTTAAAACCGAAAGTCAAAATACGGATGTCCGCACAAGACATTAATGGTGTGGAGTAGAGCGAGCATTTTAAATAAATTCCTATTAAGTAGGATTGAACTAAACAGAAAGAATGTTCACTCTGTTCTGCTGGTTCCTCGCTGGTGGATCATATGATTACTTTGTCATAATCTATGACAAAAATGCTATTATAAACATATTAATAATAGATAATACACATTGCTCTTATTTTTGAAAAATACATTCATGAAAAACAAGATAACAAAATCATTAAAAAAAATATAGCCATGGCTGCTATAAAGCAACATATAATTGAAAGGCAATTAATAATCTGTCATTACGTCACTGCATTATGATATTACGGCTCCAATACGGTGCAGCACAAAGCACTTATGTGCATCCCGAGCGGAGAATGATGTGCTTGAAGCCACATGAAGTTACAGCGCATTGAGTCCGTATTGAAAAGTTCAAAGCACAAAGGAAAATAATTTATGAACAGTGTATTATACATTATCTATCTATGCAATAGTTTATTGAGCCTTTTCTTTTAAAGGTTTTAAATTTCAGTTACTGTGTGCGTGAAGAACAATTATAGTGCTCTGACTCTAGTGTTGTGATCTAACCGACAGCGTCCGACACCCGGTAGAAAGTAACACGATTAAGTTACAGCAATAAAGTCCAGCAAGAAAAAGTTTCTTCATTCGAAAATATAGACCTTTAGACCTTTATCTTAAAGATCCAGTATAATAGGATTAACATTGAATCATTGAAGATCGTTTCATCATTGACTGTAACCGAATGTGACGTGCTGTTTGAATGCTGAATGGAGAATGACTGACAGGCGCAGAGAGGGAAAAGTTTGTGTTCTTGAATTTAATGACTTAAATATTAATTTCTATATCACATAATAGCTTCAGAACACTAATAATACAGTACACAAAAACTTTATGGTACTTTAGAAAGTTTTTGTGCCTTTGTGCCTAACAGAATAGTATATGCACAATATAGAATTTGAATCAGCCTCGTCAAAGATGGCAGTGTCAGAGCCGATACCGATCCTGAGTATCTAATCGGCGCACTTCTTTTCAACAGTCAAATTGAAATTGAAATTGCTTGAAACTCAACAGATACATCACATTTATTAGCCAGTAGACGTGCAAAGTTTCAGAAACGGGCAATGTGCAAGGACTAAATAGCGCCACCTTTTGACAAAAGTGGGGTTGTTAGTTTTATCTACAGTTACAAAAATCGGTATATACATTGTACTCCTCAAGCCGGACAACTTTCTAATACATAGTCATTAGCTCGGACCAAGAAGAAGTCAGATATTTTGGTTTGAATATGGTGAGCCTCTCTCTGAGCCTACGTCCCTGTATGGCAAGCCCTTTTAACATTTAAAAGCTAAGTTTGCCGGAATTAACATTGTAGATATCAACAACGTCTTTCTGTCTATTCGTAATTACATTTTGGATAGTTTGTATTATCATTTAAGACATCTGTAACATAATTGTGACTAGTCGAAATGACAGAGTATGGCAAGCCGTTTTTAACATTTAATCATAAAAGGGCCAAAGCCTTCG